TCCAGATGTCTGTCCCAACCATTCTGTGTTAGATTTTGCCCAGGAGAGGGTTTTTCCTAGAAGCGCCAGTGTTTTTGTCCACACCAGGAGCTAGAAATCCTAGACAGAGGTCTCAGGCCAGCTCAGCAAGCCAGATGCCACCGGCAGGACACGTGTTAGCACACACCACATCCTTGAGCAAAGCCACCCAAGTGCCAGCCGAGCGCCCAGCCCAGCCCTTGAGGACGACGGTGACACGACTCTGTGTTTCCTCCGCAGTCCTACACCACCTGCGCCCTGGGCATCCAGTTCGTGGGCTATGTGATGATCTGCTTCGCGGCCACCAACGCCCTGTGCTCCGAGCTGTATGGAAAGCTAGCCCAGTACACGGGCAGGGTCGCTCTCTACGCGCTCGGTAGGTGGTCACTTTCCCAGATGCCAGCAAGAACGGCGACGCTGCCACCCAGGGAGTGGGTGAGGGCTCAGAGCACACGTGGAACTGCCTTGAAATCCATCGCGCCCCTTAGAAAGCCACCCACCCCGTCCTCCCCGGCCTCCCTCCCTCCAGCAAGCAGGACTCCCGAGGCAGGGCTGCCCTGCTGTGCGCTCTGATGAAGGCTGGGGCTGCGCTAAGCACAGGGTTTCTGCAGGCATGTGAAGGGCTGCCCTGACTGGTGTTTGGGTGAGTCAGGGCCGGCTCCTGAAGGATGCGACCTGTATTCACCTGGTGCATGAAGGCTGACCTGTCAACGCTGACAGGCTCCATGCTAAACACGCGGCACCTTTATTTCTCTTGGGAAGGGAGGAAGAAGAATCACAGTCGATGTGAGCAGTGAGAAATGAGGGTGCTAACAGAACAGTCACCCGGCTCCCAGTCCAGCTCTAAGGGGTCCTGTGTCAATGGAGCTAGAAGATGGGGAGCATTAAACCTCTGTCGGGGCCGACTAAGGGCGCGTCCTGGGCACGTCTCCCTGTGTCATCCTCACCATCATCCTGTGGAGCGGACACTGCCCACTCGACAGATGAGGAGATGGAGGAACAGAGAAGGGTGGTGACTTGCCCACGGTCACACAGTCTCAGGGAACCCAGCACGCACCTGTTCTTTCTGACCCCACAGACGCTGCTCTGCCCACTGGGCAGCAGTTTCTGGAGTGTCTGTTTTGTCACTACGTTCTGGAGATGCCACAGTGTCTGCAGAAATCACGAGGCCAAAAACCAGGATGCACTGGGGTAAAACTCAGGAGGAAGACCCCTGGCTGGCTCCGCAGGCCTCGCCTTGTGCAGGCCCAGCTC